CTCTGCAAAATGCTATTAACTATGGGAATATGGGTGGGTCATTTTGCAGCAGTGCGGGGCAGAAGGGGGCTGCTGGAGTTGGGTGTACCCCTTGCTCCCCAGAGCCTGCTAGATTTGCTGACTGGCTCCCCCGGAGATACTGACAGCAACGTCTTCTGGCTCCCTGCCCCCAGCACACCAAATGCACAACGTCCTCCGCCGCAGAGGTGCGGCAAAGTTGTACGACTATTAGAACAACAGACACCCACACAACCTCTTCCTAATGAAAGACATATTGCGACGGAGCTTTGAATTTTTGCAGAAACGCAAGTAGCCAATCTACAAGGGAACGGTGAGAAAATAAGAAACACCTTGGGTAATTTATTGAAGTTGGAATATTTTCATCCCCAAAAAGCACCATGATAATAAAGTGTAAAATAAAAGCGGTAGCAACAACAATAGAAAGAGCAATGCGCGGAATAATGGCATCTTCGCGATTCAACAAATCACTGTCGAGAGGAGGAGGGAAAGAAAAGGAAGGAAAAGATAAATTGTTTGGCTCCTCATTTTTGTCTGCATTGGAAATGAATATTATTACTTGCAGTTCAAATGGATAGGACATGGCCTTCCTCTGAGCTCTCTTTTATTAAGAGTATATTAGCTTATATTATACCATAAAAGAGTAAGATATAAAAATTGCCAGCTTCTTGCCAGTATAATGAAAACCCTAATTATCCATGACCCTGCAGGACTTTCTACTTTGCTCAACACACACACACATGTATGCGTGTCTCTCTCTGTGTGTATATGAATGATACACACTTTTCTAGTCTTCATAAAGCCTTGGAGAGAAAATTAATAAAACAGTTGTCTGTTATCTCAATCACTAGCTATTGCGGTTTCAGATGGAGAGGAAAAGAAGTTCTCAGTGTTAGCACTTCAATAAAGATGAGAGCAAGTTAATAATTTCATGCACGTCAGTCATGAAGTGGTGACTTGCATGTGTGAAAGAAGAGCGCAGCTGCAGAAAGTGTCACCAGAGATGGGAACCGAGCTTAGTTCTCATTCAAAATACAGTAGCACCTCGGGTTACATACGCTTCAGGTTACAGACGCCACTAACCCAGAAATAGTACCTCGGGTTAAGAACTTTGCTTCAGGATGAGAACAGAAATCGTGCTCCGGCGGTGTGGCGGCAGCAGGACGCCCCATTAGCTAAAGTGGTGCTTCAGGTTAAGAACAGTTTCAGGTTAAGAACAGACCTCCGGAATGAATTAAGTACTTAACCCAAGGTACCACTGTATTAAAAAACTCCTTGCCCACCACTAAAGTATGTCTGGGGGCCTGGTAGAGGGTGTTAAGTGGTGGCATTGCCACCACAGCCAAAGCAGCAGCAGCAGCAGGAGCAGCAGCAGCAGCAGCAGAGAAACATATAGGGGCCACCACAAGCAGGGCTGGGCTTGAGTGTATGTTTGGAGGATGGCACCAGCCCTGGCCACTTCTGCTCATTTTGTTGAATGGGACCCTGAAAGTCATATTCTGACATCATCATCATCATCATCATCATCATCATCATCATAATAATATATTATTTATACCCCACCCATCTGGTTGTGTTTCCCCAGCCACTCTGGGTGGCTTCCAACAAAATATTAAAATACAATGGTATCAAAAGCAGGGCTGCCTTCAGATGTCTTCTAAGAGTCTGGTAGTTGTTCTTCTCTTTGACATCTGGTGGGAGGGTGTTCCACAGGGCGGGTGCCACTACTGAGAAGGCCCTCTGCCTGGTTCCCTGTAACTTGGCTTCTCGCAGCAAGGGAACTGCCAGAAGGCCCTTGGCACTGGACCTCAGTGTCCGGGCAGAACGATGGGGGTGGAGATGCTCCTTCAGGTATACTGGACCCAAGTCCTATCCAGACAGGACCACAAACAGGTCCTCTCTCTTGTCACCACCTGCCTAACTTCAGAAGGCAGAGAAAGTCACAGGGGGCTTCCAAAGATTAAGGTGGCATGATTTGGGAAGTTTAGTGAGAGGATCCAGTCCTTCTTCATTGTCAATTTGTTCCGGGTAGGAATGGCTGCAGTGCCTCTACTGAAGATCTGGTTCCCCTTTTCTTGTTGCCTTTTGGGCCCCATGGTGGCTCAATCACCAAGAGTGAAATAATGAACCCACCCTTTCCTCTTATTCTTTTGGAAAGTTGACTGCCAAAGACATTTGCTGCTCTTGAGAACACTATTATGCACACTTATGTCCCAGTGAAATCAATAGTGTTTATGAATACTTAATTGCATAATAGTCTGTGGATTTCTTTCTTTCTTTCTTTCTTTCTTTCTTTCTTTCTTTCTTTCTTTCTTTCAGAATGAGACATTAATGGTTTATTTTTTAAGAAAATGCAAAGCACACGAGGCTGCTCTGAATTATTGTATAAAGCAGATGCCTAGAACTCAGAATCTAATTTTCTCTCTGGATTCACATAACATCCTTGATCTTCCAGCAGCTTCAAAATAACATGTAGCAAGCATATAGCTAAGTCCTTTCAAATAGCCACAAAGTGCATAAAACTGCTCAAGGGGAAAGAGTATTCCTTCTGTATCCAGTGTATGAAGTCAGCTTGCTCTGGAAGAGTGAGCAAATAGACCTGTTACACCTGAAATTGGGCTTGACGGAGGAGGCAGGGTGTTGCATATTAAATGAGACCTGGAATCGCTCCGCTCAGCAGCACCTAAGCGTATAAGACTTTATTCTACGCTTCTGATGATTTTATAATTACTTGAGATATCTCTAGAACCGGCAAGCCTTTTTCAAATGCACTTAGTACTTGGCTTCGGAAAACTGAGAATTTCTCAGTATTAGAGGATTTGGACTTTCAATTTCTAGAAACTGAGTAAAGAACTTATAGTGTACTCTTCCTTGCAAGCTTTGGAAGGCAGTAGTATATGGTACCTGAATTACCTAGGTTTCATTTTGCAGTAACCATTAGGCTAAAACCTTCACAGATGGTGGATTTGGAGGGAGGATTTGAAAGAAGAGAGGGCAGGATCACATTCAGGAAGAAATTTGCAAACATAAGGGGCGTCAAATGGACCACGTGAATTAGGAGAACTGGAAGCCTTAGACTGCCTGAAAGTGGTGTATTTGGAGATGACCATCCAATCTGTTGTCCAAGTGCTAACTCTTGATGGACAATTTCACAGCCTCTCCTTTTCTCCCTTATCTAGAATCTGGATAGTACTTCAGATAGAGAACTGTTTTCCTAAAGTAGGCCACATGACCATACTAATAGCCTCTTTTTCTTTAAAACCACCATTATGGAAGGTCCTAGGGAACAGGTGGACTATGAAAAAGTAACTTTCAGAACAGGCCTCTGTGTTTGTTTGTTTGTGTGTGTGTGTGTGTGTGTGTGCGCGCGTGTGACACTATTTATAGAGATGGAAGAAAATTCACTTTTGATCACCATTTGTTCCTTTTTTTTTACATACGAGTTGTTAAAATTAAAACACCCATTATGCTGTCTGTGGATTTTTCCACACAAAGCCTTGCTTTGTCAAGGAAGTGTCTGCCCAAATGGTTCTGGTGATGTTAACCTTTTGTGTAGCTGCGCAACAGGGCTGCCTTCCTTAGAAACAGACTCCAAGCACTTCAGGTAAACTCAAACACAAACTGCATACTCCTTGGCTTCCACATTGGCTCACAATGCCTTTATCCTCCAACTCACCTCTAAAGGAAACTACCTTTTCAAATGCTTCCCATTGACCCAGGAACTAACTACGTATGTACACACCTTCCCATTATTGATACAACCTAACTTATAAGCTACTTTGGCAAACATTCAATTTGAAAAGCATCCTATTTTTTTTTAAAAAAAAACAATAATAAATTGTCTCAGCTCAAGTGCCAAACCAGTCCCAATGGGCACAAGCTACCCCTGGCAGGGGCAGGCACTGGTGGCAGGACACAGTGACAGCAGCTTATCCAAACCATCCCGAAGCCAGGAGCTGCCCTCCTTTTATGAATAAAGGCAAGGCATACATATTTTTTTTTACAACATTTAAAAAATAGGAGCCATTAAACGTGTTGTGAAGAAACAGGTGCCCCCCACTTATGTGTGTTCTACTCACATGCAACTGTGTCTATGCACAGCACCAGGAAATAATTAAACAATTCAGTTCAAACCTGGAAATGGTGGGAGAGAGTTGGAGAGTGATCAGACCCTTCGCTGGACCCCAAAAGCATGTAAATGAGGGTGGAGGAAGCCCTGAAGAGACTGGAGGCACAGCAGGGCTTTGTTTAGGCTGCTCAGCCTCCCCACCTAACAGCTGACATGTGGGATGCCACAGCGGCTGCAGCCATTTCCCCATGTGTCCTCCAGCCCCCTGCTGGCCCCAGAGCTTCAATTCTTGTTGTGGATACAGTATTTTTGGGATGGACTGAAGAGAGAGTGGCAGGGTGTTTAAAGGGTGTTATTCGACACAAAGCTTATTCCACACAAAGAGGGTGCTCCCCACGTTATGCAATTTTATTTATGCGCACAAGCTCCCAGAAAGTAGCCTCTGTGTAAGTGGGGAGTTGCCTGCACTACAGCTTTTTCAAACAGGAGCCATTTAAAAATTGTTACGTGCCCATTTGGGAGCTAATCAAAACACATGTGCATGCTGGTTCCACACACATATTTGGCTTTTTAACTATAACTGTTTCATTTAGCATTTCCTTCAGTTTGGGAAACACTTCTTGCTCCAGCTGGTTATGAATTATTCCTTCTTGCTTATTAGAGTCACAAGTGTGCTTGTTTCTATTTATACCATTGTTTTGTATTAATATTTAAGGATACAGTGTGTAACACCTGAATATGCTTCTCTGCTATCTGCTGTTTTATTAGGAGAAATTCACACTAGAATGCTGCTGAATTTTCATTAGGATTTCTTTTTAATGCGAATTTGCTGTAGAAATGCGGTGAACTGGATTAAAGCTTAGAAAAATTAGAACCCGAGAGAACCAAAATTGACAGATCTTTCTATCCCTACTGGAGAGGCCAAGGGTTGAACCTGGTACACATTGCTTTCAAAGCAGATACTCTGCCATTGAGCTACAGCCCACGACTATTCAAAAATGCATGGGGAACTGCCATAGATACAAAAGTCTCTCTGCTACAGGCAGTCACCTTTCACAAGTCTGAAGGTGTCTGGAATGGGGATGGAGGGGGGCAGAGCTGGCACATTCGTTCCCATTGTCCCTTCTCACATGCTTACTTTAACCTAATTGTATTGCTTTGAAGATGGCTTGTATTTCATTATCCATTTCCAATTCTGGGAAATGCTCCTCTCATATATTTTGCATCAGGGGACGGTGTATGCGTATGCATGTGTGTGTGAGAGAGAGAATTAAGGAGAAAAAGACTATGTGTGTGGTCAAGACCTACTTTCTAAATATGCATTTATGATATATTTTGCAAGCACGTGCTTTATCAGAGCTTGAGGCTCTGCAGTAAAAATAGAACAACACCCAGAATACAATTTAAACCAATTAAGAGGGGATTCAATTAAAGTGACATGCACAAATATTTTTGCCAGCTCAGTCTAAAGGAAGTGCATACCACCAACATTACATTACTCACCCTGCCTTCATTTGTTTGGTTCCCACATCAACCCCACCAATTACCTGGAAGGAAAAAGGAGAAAGAATGACACTAAAGCCAATAAGATAATTCTCATTTACATAATAATTTCCCAGTACTGTGCTTAATAGTCTGAGAGTAACGTCAAAAGTATATATCATCCATTCTTGAAGAAGCTTCAGTGCACTAATTGAAACTAAATTACACCAGATCTCAATTTTTCTTGTGTTGGTTGGAAGATATTTTGTGAGCTCTAGTTCTATGTATTGTTACTAAAACTGACAAATATACATGTCCCTCTCTCTCCAAAAGAGTCCTAGATATGACTCCTCTCAGCCTTGGAGGCATTCCTCTACATTAAAACGTTACATTTCATGCACAAAGAAATGTAATCCGTCTGAATTTGAGATGCAGGGGGAAATACCTATTGGAAGATCTCTTCAAGGCTAAGAGTAACTGTTTTCTTCTTAAATTTCCTTACACATAGAGAATACAGCTCAATTAATCTGTCAAGATGACATTTTCATTTTAAAACACAAGCCACTGACAAGAGGTTCATGGCAGATTGGCAGCCCGCAAAAGCAAATCTTTTCGGTACACTTCCAAAGCTCCCAGTTCTACAGTAAAGACAAGGTATTCTTCCAGAAAACTGCTTTGGCCAATATGTATTCTAGCTGACCTGGCTGGCAGAACCATATGATCTGAAGAGGTTAACTTATCCTCTAGAGTTCCTCCACTATTAGCAACTGGGAGATAGTTATTAAACCCATCCAGGTCCAGGGAGGTTCTCTTGAGGAAAGGGTGCATCATCATTACAGTGGTACCTCAGGTTACATACGCTTCAGGTTACAGACTCCGCTAAACCAGAAATAGTGCTTCAGGTTAAGAACTTTACTTCAGGATGAGAACAGAAATTGTGCTCTGGTGGTGCAGCGGCAGCAGGAGGCCCCATTAGCTAAAGTGGTGCTTCAGGTTAAGAACAGTTTCAGGTTAAGAATGGACCTACAGAACGAATTAAGTACTTAACCTGAGGTACCACTGTATTTCTTACAAGGGTTGATGGTACCCCCTCCTCCGGCAATGAGGCATTCACCACTTCTTGGAGCCACTCAGACAATCCCCTTTGGATTGCTCTTATGAGTCGTAATGGGCAAGAGTCAAGAGGACAAGTGATTGACCTTTCAAGCAGCTTTTCCACATTAGCAGGCCAAAACCACTGATAGTCATCAAAGACAACAGGAAAAGACAGCGCTCTCAACACCTCCTCCACACTGATCCCTACCAGTGGCATCTAATGCTATGCAAATCTGAACAATTTTATCCATGAAGTGGCTTGCAATATTGTCACAACAGGCTACGGATGTTACAAAAAAAAATGCTCCTTCCAGTCAGATGTCACCTATCACCACCTAGAATAGCTCTCCTGGAGGGCTACTCAATGCTGGTGATGGAATCACATAATCCACCACACCTGGCGGCAGCAGTCGTTAGACGTTCTCAGGAGAAATGGTGGGTCAGATGGGGTGGGGTGGGAGAGGTTATATGCTCCAGCATTTGCTGCCTGAATGACTGGCCTTGCTACATGGAAACTGCACCTCTTCTTGCTTTGTTGACCTGAAGAGGACTCTGAGGAGTATGCATACACAAATAGTGAGTATGCCTCATGCTAAGGTACTTCTCAGGCCTAGTCCTGCAGTGTGTGTGTGTGTGTGTGTGTGTGTGTGTGTGTGTTTGTGTGTAATATCTGTTGGGGTGTGTGCAGAGTGCCCATTCAACATGCCAGTGGAGTGTGCCAATGGTACAGAAAAACACCAGACAGTTCTAGATGGGGTCAGTCCCTTTACTGACAGTATAATGCAGTTCCACAGGTTATGGGTTACATAAAAGGTAAAGGTAAAGGAACCCCTGACCATTAGGTCCAGTTGCCGATGACTCTGGGGTTGCGGCGCTCATCTTGCTTTATTGGCCGAGGGAGCCGGCGTACAGCTTCTGGGTCATGTGGCAGGATGACTAAGCCGCTTCTGGAGAACTAGAGCAGGGCATGGAAACGCCGTTTACCTTCCCGCTGGAGAGGTATCTGTTGATCTACTTGCACTTTGACGTGCTTTTGAACTGCTAGGTTGGCAGGAGCAGGGACCAAGCAACGGGAGCTCACCCCGTCATGGGGTTTCAAACTGCCAACCTTCTGATCAGCAAGCCCTAGGCTCTGTGGTTTAACCCACAGTACCACCCACGTTACATACAGTTGTAATAAACAGTCTTACCAGCATTGGACAGGAAAATTGGCTTCCAGGTGGAAAGATCCAAATTAGAAACAGAATTGTTAGAACCCAAGACTAAGAATTTGTCAAGAATGTATAACTTGCTGCTGAAATGGAATACTCAAGATGAAACGGTAAAATCGGCTATGATTAAATGGGCACAAGACGTTGGACATAACATTATGTTTGCTGACTGGGAACAGTTATGGACCACAGGTATGAAATTTACGGCATGTAATGCCTTAAGAGAGAATATTATGAAAATGATATACAGGTGGTACATAACCCCAGTCAAGCTTGCGAAAATCTATCACTTGCCCGATAACAAATGTTGGAAATGTAAAGAAACTGAAGGTACATTTTTTCACCTTTGGTGGATGTGCCCAAAGATTAAGGCATTCTGGGAAATGATATATAATGAATTAAAAAAGGTATTTAAGTATACCTTCCCTAAGAAACCAGAGGCCTTTCTCCTGGGCATAGCCGGCCAAATGGTGTTAAAAAAGGATAGAACTTTCTTTATGTATGCAACAACAGCAGCAAGAATACTCATCGCAAAGTATTGGAAGACACAAGAACTTCCCGCACTGGAGGAAAGGCAGATGAAACTTATGGACTATATGGAATTGGCGGAAATGACTGGTAGAATCCATGACCAGGGAGAAGAGTCGATGGAGGAAGACTGGAAGAAATTCAAAGACTATCTTCAGAAACATTGCAAAATTAAGGAATGTTAAAGGGATGTTGGACTGAAAGTAAGTGGTTTCCAGCTGCACAGGTTAAAGTTAAGGATAGATTAAGATTAAAGATCAAGATTAAAGATGTTTAAAGAAATGGAAATTTGATACTAAAAGGGAAAATTTTAACGTTATATGATATTAAGATCAAGGATTAGGTTTAAAAAAGTTGAAGTTATATATTTTAACATTTTATTAAATTAAAGATTGGGATTAAAAAGTGGAAAAGAAACTGCTGGACAAATAATGTGGATTGGAATACAAAAGAGGGAGGTATGAGGAAGTCCAGAAAACAAGTAATTTAAAATTGGAAATGGAAAAGAGAGTTTGTTTTTAATTGTTATGCCTTTTGTTTTTTATTGTTGAGTTTTGTATTGTTTTCTGTGTGTGTTGTTTTTTTTCTTTTGTTGTTTAAAACTTTAATAAAAATTATTTTTTAAAAAAAATAAATAAACAGTCTTACCAGCAGTGTCCCAACGCAGACTAGGCTCTGGCCAAGGGCACGAGCCAAGAGAAAACTTGCTTCAAACACAAGTATATTTATACTTTAGATTGTTTTGACTCACTCTCACACGCAGGTGCAGGACAAACACACCCCAAAATTAACCAGCACACCTAACTTACGTAACTCTTTCTTGTCCTTTTTTCTCTGCATGCACAAATCCTTGTACATTAACAATAAAATGGTAGAATTGTGCAAAGAGGCCTCAGAATACCAGGTAATCCTGTATCTTTTAACAGGATTATCTGAGGGAACCTCTGTCAGGAGCTGAATCCAAAGGATGCATTAATGATGGCCAACATTTCTCCGATGAAAATAGTGACATCCCATTCCATAACGATAATGTTACTATTATAGCCCACACATCTTACTGGGTTGCCCCAGCCACTCTGGACAGCTACCAACATATATAAAAATATAATAAAACAGTAAACAGTAAACAAACAAACAAAAACCCTTCCCTATACAGGACTGCCTTCAGACAGCTTGCAGCTCAGATAACTCTATACCATCCAACATTTCTTCAATGAAAATAGGGATGTCCTAAGGAAAAGTGGGACATTCCAGGATCAAATCAGGAAATGGGATAGCTTCTCTAAATAGGGACACTTGGAGGGTCTGCAAGTGCTTAGAGGATTAGAGTGAAGGAGACTAGGGACATCACAAGGGTTTGAATAGGGGCATTTACAAAAGCTCAACCCTTTTGGGGGCTGAACAAAAGATCCTTGTGCATCTCTAGATGGGAATATAATTTGTATTGGAACTTCAACCTAAGACATCTGGATTCAGCTCCAGACCCAAGGTGTTATTTGAAGATCCTTCCAACCACATGTGAGTGGAGTATCAATTAAAAAGCTCCAAAAGAACATTTAAACGGACCAGCTTCATAACATGGGGTGGATTCTGTGGGAAAGCACATACAATTTGCTCACACCACGTCACTGGGTCATTTAATGTTCTCCCAACTACATGGGACTAG